AAACTACCCTCTGCTACCTTTAAATTACCGTTTAGTTTAAAAACATCAATACAAATATTGTCACATCCTTTCTCGCCCCCGTGTCTGGGATGATGCAATCGCTTGTGCGTGCAGTGCAAGCAATGTCCTCATAAAGGTGGAAACGTAATGCGAGCAGAGTGGCGCAGTGGAAGCGTGCTGGGCCCATAACCCAGAGGTCGGTAGATCGAAACTACCCTCTGCTAATTTTTACTTTATCGTTTAGTTGATAAACATCAATACATATATTCCTTAACATTTTTAATTAGTATAGGTTGTTCCGAGAAACTTTTCATTGTACAGATATATGTCTACAAACGTGAATAAATATGCCGGACTTTTAAAATATCACAAAACAGCAGAGTGGCGCAGTGGAAGCGTGCTGGTCCCATAACCCAGAGGTCGGTAGATCGAAACTAGCCTCTGCTAACTTTTACATTACCGTTCAGTTTATAAACGACAAGAACATTTTCGTAGATATAAATGAAATGTAAGTTATTTTCTATTTCTAGTCATTTTCTAGTTATGAATTTTCTATGGTGTATATTTGTTAAATTTTTATTGCAATTTTTTACATTAAAAGTAAGTACTAATAGGACTAATTGTATCTTTAAATTCTCCCCTGATAATATTGTTTCCCAACTAGTTAAAAATTCAAAAAAACCTGGGCGATTTGATATATTTATCACGGCATAAAAAAAGGCTTGCTATGGGCTATGTATGAGCCATGAGTGTTTGTTCATATTGAACGGAATAGCAAAATAGGAAGTATATAATGCAGCAATTAATTTTAACCATAAAAAGTGAACAGAATATTTTTACTTTTACTATTTACAGTGACGTAATCACTTTAAAGACAATTCTATTTATAAACATATCAGCAGAGTGGCGCATTGGAAGCGTGCTGGGCCCATAACCCAGAGGTCGGTAGATCGAAACTACCCTCTGCTAAATTTTTTATATATTTTTTAGTTCATCGTGAATACATTTGTGCGCGTGTATAAACGTAAATCGATATAAGAACCCGTATTAAATTCGTTAACCATTTTGTATAATATAGAAAGCAGTATCAACACAGCGGTGCAGTGGTGGCGCTGTATGCGCGGTGTGTGGTGCAGGTGCGATAACCCAGAAATCGTTAGATCGCAGCTAACTTCTCGTAAAATCTTTCTATGTTAAACATCGTTTTGGCAGATATTTAGATGATTGCCCAGCATAATAGACAAATTGAAATATTTACGTTAACTTTTCATTGACTGCCTTTGTTTCCCACCCGCCAGACCACGCATTTATTCATATTCACATTGTGGTAATGTACGACCTACAAGTACACAACCGGACACGCACCTTCATCATCAACGAGTACTGTTATCTCCTACTGTATAACTGCTAGAGATGTGGGAAGAAAAGTACGTCAGAAACACGCATCGACTGGCTTCACGGAAGCACATAACAGCGTGTCTTGAGAACGCCACACGATATGTTGTCTATTAAATAATATTAATGTGGATTCTTCTCCCCGGCTTAAAACAGGGCGAAAATAACTCCTTTCCTCCGTCCCTGTGACGTAAATTAATTATGGCATAGTGACCGATATATATATATATATATATATATATATATGTGTGTGTGTGTGTGTGTGTGTGTGTGTGTGTGTGTGTGTGTGTGTGTGTGTGTGTGTGTGTGTGTGTGTGTGT